CTCCCCTCTCTTCCCCCAAACCTTGACTGATCCTGGTGCTTCCCCTGGTAGCCCTGCCTGGTGTGGTGTCCTCTTCCCCTTGAGATCTGTGAGTTACAACCTATCTTTTCGATGGCAATTGTCTTCTGATCTCTTCTGGTTGGCCTCACCATACCTGAATAATAATAAAGCTACAAGCTAATAAAAGTTAACCTCATTGACATATATATAACACTTCATTCAAGACTGAGTTAAAATTCTTTACGAGTGTTCATGGAATGTTTAGCCAATATTGACCATATTCTGGACCATAAAGCAAATTTCAAATGATTGAGATCATTCAAGTATGTTCACTGACCATGGTGAAATTAAGCTTAGGAATCAACTAAAAAGAACAAAAAAGAGAAAATCCTTAAATGTTGGGAAAGTAAACACTATATATTTAACCTACCAAGCAATATATTTCTAAGTTATCCTAGTATCAGAGAAGAAAGCATATACAATTAAATATATTTTAATTGAATGATAAAAGAATGACATTAAAATATATGAGATGCACTTAGAAAGTAGCACTTAGTAAGACATTTATGACTTTTTATTGAGGTATAATTGGCAGGTGATATTTTATTAGTTTCAGGTATACAATATAATGATTTGATATTTGTATACAATTCAAAATGATTACCACAAAAAGTCTAGTTACTATTCATCATTATACAAAATTACAAATTTTTTATTGTGATAAGAACTTTATTTTTTGTGATAAGAACTTTTAAGATTTATTCTTAGCAACATTCAAATATAAATACATAAGGTAGAAAATAAAAAAGGCCAAAAAATCAACAATTTAGGTATCCAGTTCAAGAAGTTATAAAAACAATAAGTTAAACCTTAAAAAGTAGAAAAAAGGAAATAACATTTGAGCAGAAAATGTTGAAAAAGGTAAACATAAAAGAAGAAAATCAACAACAAAAAGAAGCCTGCAGGTGTTGGCAAACTACAGCTCTCCGGCCCAATCCAGCCAACACCTCTTTAAATGTGGGCCATGAACTAAAAATTGTTTTCACATTTTTAAATATTTGGAGGGGAAAAAATCAAAAGAAAAATTCTATTTTGTGACACATGAAATTCAAATTGTAGTGCCCATAAATATAGTTTTACCTGAACATAGCAATGCTCATATATTTACATGTCGCTTATGGCTGCTTTCAGAATACAATGGTAGAGTTGAGTAGCAGCAGCAGAGACTGTATAGCCTGCACAGCCTAAAGTATTTTCGATCTGGCTCTTTACAGAAAAAGTTTTCTGACCCCTGGCATATAACAATGCATGGGCATGTAATAGGTACTTAAAATATACCTGCTGATTAAAAACTTGTCAAATGAATGAACAAGCAACCAATCAATTTGAAAACTTTGAAACTTCATTGTATTAGTGAAGGCAGTCTGTAGTCTACAACATCAAAATTAGCTATTGTAAAAGGGCCACCCTTACACAAAAATCTTGATAAGCCTATTCTATAATACCAAGTCAAAAGAGAGAAACAGAAAGATTAGGGAGACAAAGAGATTTAGAGACACAAAAAGAGAGTGAAAAAGTACAAACTATCAATAGCAAGTGTGAAAAGGAGGAAAATCCTACACATCTTACAAGATATTATGAACAACTTCATGACAATAATTTGAAATTTTAGAGAAATGGAAAATTTTCTATAAAAACATAACATCAAAATTTACCAAGAAGAAATAGAAAATCTCACCAGGAAGAGAAACCATATCTCTTACAGTAAATAAATTTATAAGTAAAAACCTTTTCACAAAGAAAACTCTAAGACCAGATGGCCTAATTGGTAGGTTTTTCCATTTGCTTCAGAAATAACAACAATATAGAAATTCTTGCAGAGTCTAAAAAAGCTCATTTTTATAAGTTTTATGAGTCAGTACTTAATGAGCCCTTGATATGAACATCTGACTAAAACATTACAAGAAAGAAAAAAACTACAGAAAAATTTATATATACATTTGTTACTTTTGGATAAATGATATACTTTACAATTAAAATTTAAAAGACCTGAAGACAAAAACAGAAAAATAATTTCTGTTGATGTTAATCCTCACTGAGGACACTTTTTCATTGATTTTTAGAGAGAGTGTAAGGGAGGGGACAAAGAGAGAAACATCGATGTGAGAGAGACACATTGATTGGTTGTCTCCTGCACGTAACCCAACCAGGGCCAGAAATCAAACCTGCAACCTAGGTACGTGCCCTTGACCAGAATGGAACTCGGGACTCTTCAGTCTGCAAGCCTGAGCCAAACTGGCCAGGGCAGAAAAATAATTTCTTAAAAATAAAATACATAAATTTTCAAATTAAAATAATCCATCAAACACCTAGCTCAAAGAATAAAAAACTAAACAAGTATCAAAAATATTTCAGGAGATGGGTAAAATGACACTACCAAAGAGAACAACTGATGCATGTAAAGCACTCAGAACCAAAATGCCATCAACTATCTTATATGAGAAAAATAAGTACTAGAAGATAATATAATATGATTTAAAAATTCTGAGAATGATCTTCATTATCGAATTCCATGTCCAGGTAATTTACTAAACAAGTATGAAGCTGCTCGAAAGCTTAAGCATGTACCTCTCATGCAACCTTTCCCAGGAAACTACTAGAGGACCTGTCTCACCAAAAGTGGGCAAAAGCCAAGAAAAAGGAAGAATGGAATCCAGGAAGCAGGGATCCAAAGAAGAAAAGTAAAAGGAATTCCTAAGAATTCCGAAGAGACACAGCAGGGTTAGAGAAACTATGCCAGATTGCAACAGATGTACAGAAGGCTCCAGAGAGTTAACACAAGGATAAGAGTGGAGCAAATAAAAACTGGCTGATGTGCTCGACTATAAACGCTGTCCTGGCTGGTTTTACCGCTTTGTAGAAAATTTTGAAGAATTATTAGGACCCAAATAAAAGTAACCAAATGAAAAATTACCCGGGACAGGGGAATGGCGAAGTCTGTTCAGGAAAGGAAATGTAATCATAGTACACTAAATGGCTCAGCTGCAAGCATATTTGCATAGTTGTAATAACACTGAATACTAATTTAACCCCAAATGGTGATGAATCATTGGGAAGAATAGGGATAGAGAGGTATGGGGAATAGTGGATGTAAATGAGCTAAATGGCTAGCTTTCTTAGTAGGAAATCAGTAGATAAATCTGGAAGTAGTGGTATATAAGCATGTTATTTAGAGTTAAATGCCAGAAGCAGCTAGAATGAAAAGTTTGTCTGGAGTGGGCGGTATGGTGTGGGGAGGACAGAGGACTGCTACTTTTTATTATAAGCTTTATTCAGCACAGGTTCTACTTTGATTTTTATGAAAATTAGATTTAAAAAAGAATGAGTGTACTTTTACTTCCACAAGTTAATAGATACCCAATTTCAAAGGCAAAGAATTATGGAGTTTATACTAGTATATATACTAGAGGCCTGATGCACGAAATTTATGCAAGAGTAGGCCTTCCTTTCCCCAGCTGCTGGCACCAGCTTCCCTCTGGCACCCGGGACCCGGGCTTCCTTCACAGCCCTGGCTTCGTCCAGAAGGTCGTCTGGTCTAATTAGCATATTATGCTTTTATTATTATAGATATTGTTGAGAATCCTTTTTCTTCCCTTATTGAACAAGAAGCCAAAGACAGCTTTGTGATAGAGAACTTTTTTGAGGAGAGACAGAGTAACATGTAGCTTTTTGAAATGCTGAGATACGATAAGTAAATAGCTGCTGTCAGGTAAATTAAATGAAATGACCAAACAGAAAAATGTTTCACAAATACTGATTTATGATTTAAAACAGTACCACAAAGCCACCCATAATGCCAAATAACCCTACTACCACAAACCCAATGTGTAGAAGTCAACATGTGCAACATGGAAGAGATGTGTAAATTCACATCTATTCTCTTGGTTACATTCACATAAACAGGCAACATCTCTGAACATGAAAAATAATACAAACAACGGACACTTGCCACGTCCATTTACATAGTGTCAGAAGATCTACCCACGGATCAAGGATAGAAATTGATATACAGGACATTATTGAAACAACGGAAATTTGAATCCAGTCTTTGGATCAGATGATACTATTATATGAAAGATAAATTTCCTGATTTTGGCCATTGTTCTGTGGTGCTATTAATGAATGGCCTATAGTTTAGGAGCACGTTGTCTGCAATTTACTAATAGATGATTCAGAAGAAAAAGATTATAGAAATGTATGTGGAGAGAGATAAGACAAGGGAAATGAGAAGAGAATAAAACAAATGTGAGGTAACAATTGCTGAAACTGGGTGCAGAATATATGGGAGTAGTATGCAACTTTTCTGTAAACCTGAAATTGTTTCAAAATGAAATATTTTTAAAAAGAGTATGAAAGATTTCCCATAAAAGTGTGCCATGTTCATGCTTCTGGAGAGAGTCCTGGGTTTCATCAGATTCTAACTTGTAAACACTCCCTTCAAAAAGGGTCAAGAACACCCCTTTCCCATTATTATTTATATTTCTATATTTAGTCACATTCCCTCATTCTTCTAACTAGGGTATAAATTCAAATAGCCATGAAAAATCTTATATTAGTCTGAGTACCAGAGAACAAAGTAAGGTTTTAAATAAGCAATAAAACTTAACTAGTGTAAAAACAAACAAAAAGCGTTTGCTGCATTATCAATGAATGTTGTTCATTCTTGTTAAAACCCAATAGTTACCCAAAAACAGTATCTCATTCATTTTATGATCATTTATTCTGGAAATGTGTACCAATTTTAAACAAACACTGTTCACTGTTACAAGAAAAAAAACACTTCAAAGAATCATTAATTGATTTTTTTCACTGAAAATGAAATTAAAATATATTTTTACATTAAAAGTAAGGTTTATTCATTCTTGCTGAGATACATCAATTTGATTGTGGGTGAGAAATAAATCAGTTTAAAATAAGAAAATGTCACATATACAATTTCATAAGGAAATGAATTGCAATTCAACTTTATATTTTTATGTTGCTTAATTTTATATATATTACACATATCATACATACATACTTGTTATACAAAAATATACACAAAAATTCAAGTATATAGTTTAATATCTAAAAAAAGGGAAAGGGAGATATTGCATTGAATTTCTAGTACTATTTTGTTTAAATACTTTTATAATTCAGATTTCAAGGGAACAACAAATCAAAAGCCATTAATTTTTCAGAAAGCTTTGTGTTCACATAAATTCATCATTCAAGTATATTTTTATTGAAACAATAAACTATTTGACTGGTTGCAAAGTCAAATGAATAAGTCATATTAAGCAAAAGCAGAGCTTTCTCTAACTCTGCTTTCATCAGCCTAGCATCCTTCTGACATATAAAATGCAGAGCATCACAGTGACTTTTAACCTGCAAGCAATTTTAAGCTGGACACTATTAATGCCATATTATAGGGCTGACAATGTTATAGATTCTTATTAAAAACAATTAGAAATTTTACTTTTACTTTTTTATTCAATTTGAAAAACAGTACATCTTTTTCACTGTGGTTGGCAACTTGACATTATACCTGAAGGAATAATTTAAACATCCTATAACAAAATATATACATAAACTTCTGAAAGATCTTGGTTTTAATTCAATTATAATTTCAATTCTACAGTTATCAAGCAAATAAACGAATTTTTTATTAACCATAGCATTAACATGTTTTTTAAAAAGTAAATTATTTTTTTGTGTTTAATTTTTTTAAATGTTGACACTACTGCAGATGTCCCCCATTTTGCCCCCCTTTGCCCACTTTCCCCCCCCACCCCCCACCCCCCACTTTTCACCACACTATTGTCTGTGTCCTGGGGTATGCATAAATGTTCTTTAGCTAACATCTTCACCTTCTTCATCCAGTCATCCTCCCCTTCCCCTCTAGCATTGTTGAGGCACAAAAACATTATGTGACTTGCCCAAGGTCATGAAAGGAATGAAAGGCAGATAAAAGCATTATTTTTCTAGCTTAAGCATCTGCACTAACCTTAGGTTATACCATCTTGCAAAATTAGCTCAGTACAACAGATACAGAAATTAGATACATTATTTAGGAATGTTTGTTTAACCTAAATTGCTGTTAATAAACTTAATTCTAATAATCTATATGTTTATCATACATTATTAGGAATTTATAAGAAACAAGATCATTTTCTTAATTTTATGCATGTAATGAGTTATTGTTTAAATATGACACACTGAATAAAACAAAATGTATGTTACAATTTTAAACAAGTTCAACAAAAGATGCTTTTAACATGATTTTTACAAAAATACTAATTATGAAACCTACAAAATTTAAAAGACAGTACCATAGACACAAACATAATAATATAAATATATTAAATCGTCTTCTAGTGGCTGTTTTGACTTTTATGAAAACGTTCTAACAAAGCACTCATAATGTTTCCCGGTATTCTTTGGTGCTTATCAATCAAAGCTTGAACAGCATTCTTTGTCTATTAAGAAAACAAAAGAAAAGCCATTATTCTTTTAGTTCTCAATATAGATCATCTATTTTGTAAAGATTTTAATGTACTACTACTTTCAAGAAGTCCTCCCTAATTTAGCACCCATCTCTCTTCAGAATTAATGGTTTCCGTCTCAGTACAACCATAGTATATTTCTTATACTTATTATGTTTGAATTATACTATTGTCCAAATGGATATTTTCTACACAGCATTTCCCCAGCATTGAGCACAGCAATGCCTTGCACTCAACACTTTTTTAAATAACTAAGGGGAAAAAAATCAGAAAAAAAAGTAGCAAGAAATTTTCTAATAGCCAAATGAAGTTTCACTCCTTTCTATCCATTAATAAACTGTTGTACATTTTTTCTTTATTACCATACACACCAAAAAATTATATCAGGCACTGAAAAATGAAAAAGTGAGGAAAACTTTTGAATGAATGAGCTGATATACTTTGGTTCATTACCTAAATTTCTAGACAATTTAACAGGAATTTAAATTAAGTCATAACAATTGAAAAGTCAATTAGGATATAAGAAGAAATCTAAAACTATTTGTTTCCCATTCGTGACAAATTTCAACAATTTTCACTTTCAAATTAGTTATGGCTATCTAAAAAATTGTTTTATGCACACTCACACCTTTCAATGAGCCTTTATACAAATTCTGAAACTTCCTCTTTTCTTAACTATAACTAATACACCCTATCCCAAAGATGTATTTTAAAAATATGCCTCTCTAAACCAAAATTTTTCATAACTCAGTAAAATGAGAACTATTTCATACAATTATTATAAGGATGAAATGAAATTGAAACTATGTCTTCAGGTATTTGGAAGTGACTAACACAGATTATGTTCTGTGAAGTATATTTTAAATTTTTATACACTTATTCAAAAAATATTAGGTGCTTTGGAAGCTATAACATCAATGAAACAAGTCTCACATCTCAAGGAGCTCATACGTTAACAAGCATAATCAAATACCAAGTAATTAAAATGTAAGATCATTTGTGACATGTGTCATCTGAAATGCGAAGAAAAAGTATTTGTTTGGGTTTTTTTTAAATGTTTTTATTGATTTTAGAGAGAGAAGAAGGGAGATTGGCTGCCTACTGCATGCCCCCTACTGGGGATCGAGCACACAACCTGAGTGGGAACGGAACCCGCAACCTCTCAGTGCAAGGGATGACACCCAACCCACTGAGCCACACCGGCCAGGGCGAAGGAAAGTATTTGGAAGTTAAGACTTGTGAGCCCGTTTGGTGGGCAACAACCAGAAAAAGACGCACTAACGAGGTACTGTTTGGTCTGAGTTTCCAAGGACCAGTAACATTTCAATAACAGTGAAGGGAAAAGCATGAGGAAAAGGACCACAGGAAAGCATTTGCTGAAGGAATGACGAGTTAGTGGGTTTGGCTAGAATTCTGCAAGAGGGAAAGGTTCTAGAGATCAGTTGCACAACAATGTAAGTATATTTAACTCTACTGAACCATACACTTAAATTAAAAATGCTTAAGTTGATAAATTTTATGTTATGTATTTACCACAAATTTAAAAACTTAAAAAATCAAGCTATGTATACAATAGGTTGATATAAAAGTCATAACACATTCATCCCATTTTCTAGGTGATTCAATAATATGACATTTATTGCTTATGATATGTCATACTCTCTGAAAAGTATAATAGCAAGCTGAGTGGTCTTATCTCATCTTCCTTGATCTCTCTGCAGGAATGGGTGTGACTGATCTTTCCTGTTTTTTTAAAAAGCCACCTGCTGACTTCTCTCACACAAATGTACTTGTTCTACCTCTCTGCTACTTCTCTTTCAGCCAGCTTTGGTTGTTTTCCACGACCTGTTCCTTAAATGTTACATCATCCTCTACAGTCTGTCCTCAGTCCTCTTCTTTCTCTCTCTAAACTATTCTGTAAAGCTCAGTAATTATCTCAGTGCAAATGACTTCTAAATCTTCATCACCAATTCTGACTTCTTTCCCAAACCTCAGTAAAATAGTTACAAAAACCTACATATGTAAAAATATGCACAGATATCCGGCAAGTAACTACACAGAATTAGCTTTCAGGCCTGATGCATTCTATCTCTGTAAAATCCCTCAAATCTGTATCTTGCTCTACCTTCCAAGTAGGTAAGATCTTTATCTAACTCATTCATTCATCAAACTTTTATTGAGATCAATTAAATACCTACCACTGTACTAAGAACTAGAGACACAAAAATTCATAGCATAACCTCTGCTCTTAAAAAGGGCCCTTTAATTTTTATACATCTAAGTCATCACAATTGCTAGCATCATCACAAACCATTGGTGAGGAAGAGATTACATATCTGCTTGCTTTGGCCAAAAACAATTTAAGTGGAACTGATATGAACCACTTCCAAGCAGAGGCCTATTCCAATTGAAATGTTTTTAATAGACAAATCCTCTAGTCTGTATTTAAGGGCCTAAAAATGCAGCTCCTACTTGCTTTTCCAGTTTCATTGATCAAACTGTATCCACTAAGCTGGTGACCCCAAGTCTATTCCACAGCTGTTATTAAGTGCTCTTCAAGGAAAAACAGGGATAGGGTTTTGATAGAATGAGAGCTCAAAATGATCTTTGAAACAAAGCTAAATAGACCACTTATTGCAAGCCTTCTTAAAATCTCTAATATGTTAATGTGCTTTGCAAAATTCCTAGAAGGGAACTAGGCAGTCACTCCCCACCTGCTGTTCTAATCACATTGGACGTTGGACACTGTTGTACATGCAGTCAGCTTAGCTCCTACCACTGCCGCTTTGTTCATACTCTGCCTCCTGCCCCATGTCTGCATGTCTAGGACATGCCCACTTTCACGACCCACTTCAAATGCCCTCATTCTAGAAAGTTTTCCCATTTTTTTCCCTCACAAAGCAGTCTCTTTACCCTTTGAGCTTCATACTGGTATCACTGAAATTTAGCCTCCATATTGCTTCTAGGAATCTTTCTAAATGCAAACCTATTATAACACTCATCTGCCTTAAATAGCTCTCTGGCTTTCTGTGAACAAATCAATGATAAGCCATCATAGCCCAGAAGCTTCCTAAATTTCTAGCCTCATCTCCTACAATATTCCTTCTAGCTATACCAGACTACCTTCAACTCCCCAGAGAGTTCAGGCTATTTCATGTTGTCATCCTTTTATACATTCCATTTCCTCTACCTCATTACTCCTTGTCCAGTTAATCCCTTCATGTCTTTCCAAATAGAATTCAAGCATCATCTCCGTTGTCCTGATCTCATTCAGATACTTTTCCTTTGTGCTTCCATAATACCTTAGCACAGTACTTATCAACCAGGGTCGATTTTATGCCCCAGGCGACATATGGCAATGTCTATAGACCTTTTCTTAATTGTCACATTTTAGAATAGAAAGCTCTTTGTAGTGGGGGACTGTCCCGGGAAGTGCAGGATGGTCATCACCATCCTTGACCTCTACTCACTAGATGCCAGTAGCACCACCACTTCCCAAGTCTGGCCCGTTGTGACAATGAAAAATGTCTCCAGATTGGCAAATGCGCCCTGGGGAGGAAATCACCACTGATCTAGAGCAACTTGTAAAATAAATTAATGAATTAATTTTAATATAATAATTGAAAGTCAAAAAAATCTATACAAGGACTAAGAAAGAATAATTTACCTTTTCGGCTAATTCTTCTGCTGTTAACTTTGGATCATATGGAATGGGATCACCTAAGTAGGTACGAAACTTCACTGGAAAACCTCCATATATTGGAGCAAATGGATAGCGGAATTTTTCATAAAGCCACCTAAATAACCCTGTTTTAAAGTAAACAAAATCATTTTAATTGGTTACAAATTCTGAGCATGTAACTGCAAACTCTCAATTATGTAAGGTTTAGAGGAAAGTGGCAAATAGTATCATCTCTTGGCAATTAATATTTTTTTAAAGACGAGCTTTTCATCAGTTGTAACAAATGTGCAAGATGTTAATAGAAAAATCTGGATGAGGGGGTTTATTGGTACACTCTGTACTTTCTGTTCGATTTTTCTGTAAACTTAAAAATTCTCAAAAAAACAAGGTCTATTAATATTTTTAAATGAGCTTTTAAAAATATGAGGATTTTAAAGGCAAACCAAGTACTATTATTGCAAAATAAAGGGTAAAGACTGAACCCAAAACTAGAAGCTAAAAAGTCTAGAGACTCAAAATATGTGATTTAAATGAAAAAAGAAGAAAAAATGGAAGCATAAAATAAATTCACATAAACATGAGACTAAAAATGCATCAATAAACTAGGTAAAGACTAAAACATTATTGTAAATTAGGAAAAAATGTAACAAAGCAAAGAATTACTAATGGAAATGACCAATATAAAATTTAGCAAGATAAAAGTGGCAATAATGCAAAATAAACTGACAAAATTTAAGGTGAAGTTTAAAGATAAATAAATCCAAGAAAGTCAAGCGACATGTAATACATAATCATAAGTTGTACTGGAATTTGAAAACCCTGTTTATATATATAAAAAAAACAGAATACACCATAAGATGCAAAGTAATACTTAAAATAAAATCACTAGACACTAATGTTTGAGATATTCAACTATTAAAGTAAAAAACGTTAAAAAGTAGTAAGAAAGAATTTTAAAACCACTTTGCATTTAAAGAAGTAAAATTAGGGATAATTTCTGCTATGCAACTTAAATTCTGAAGAAATGATCTGAGAGAAAATTAGAAGAAATAATTCCACAACAAAAATTAAACATCTTATCAACCTGCCTTTCCACTTTAAATTTGGAAAGAAAAAAAAAAAGACCTATAAAATGTAATGGAATACCAACAATACGTCAATATTGGACATAAAAGAAACAACAGAAGTTTAAAGTTCTTCAGGAGGGGATTTGTATGTGGATATAAACACTAACAATATAGTGCTAGGGATTTAAAATAACAATCAACCAAATTTAATACATAAAACATAGGGTATAAAAACAAACTGAAATTTTCAAAATAAAAAGAAAACGAGACACTGCAGGAAAAAGCATATCTAATTATCACTCCTATAACTAGATTCAGAGCTTATTTTGCTACCAATAAGTTGAAGGTGGGCAAAAAGAAGTAAATGTATCGTGGTTCAAAATATTTTAAAAACAAACAAATTTAAAAAGTAACAGAAAAGTAACAACTGGTGTGGCTTAGTGATTGAGTGTCGACCCATGAACCAAGAGGTCACTGGTTCAATCCCCCGGTCAGGGCACATGCCTGGGTTGTGAGCTCGATCCCCAGTGGGGGAGGCAGCCAATAGATGACTCACATCGATGCTTCTATCTCTCTATCCCTCTCCCTTTCTCTCTCTCTAAAAATCAATAAAAACATATTTTTAAAAAAGTAACAGAAATAAACCAAGGCAAATTATATCTTCTTTGGTTGTTCATCTTACTTCAATGTTATTGTCTTTCATTTTTAAAGCTATAACTTCTTCAGGGGTGAGGTAAGAAGATAGTCTAAGTTATATGTAAATTTCTCCTAACCTTAACCAACATGTTTTAACAAAAGTAAATAGGTAATTTACTGGGTAATTTTAAAAAGTCAATGACAAATAAGCATCAGTATGTACATAAGACAAAAACCTAACATCTAAGAGCTGCCATTACTTAGAACTTTATCATTTAGTCTTTAAATAGAAAAACATCTAAATAGAAAAAAATCTAAATTTTGAAACTACATAGAGTTCAAAGCTCAAATATTTAAAATATTATATTATAAAAGTAAAAAACAAAAAATAAAATATTATGTTATAAATATTGTTATATTATGTCATTAGAAAAACCAAATGAACCAGAACTTACTTGTTCCTCCAAGTGATCTAAATCCTTCTCGAATATTTTGTGTAAACATAGGAATAATGGGCTAAAGAGAAAATTTGGATTAAAAAGTAAATATATTAATCTATTCAATGTCTCCATTGAGTAACTAATGAAAACTTTTGAGGACCTGCTTAAGATTATTAAAATAAGGTACTTTTAAAATAAAGGTTTACTTTTATCACTAGTGTGATTTATCAGACTAAACTTGGTCATTTGTAGAAATATAAATTAGAAACACTACCCTCTAGTGGTAATATATAATATTTAGTTTACCAACTTTCCTATTCATTCCACATAAATCCTTAATACTCAAAGATTATAATAATCATTAATTTAATTAAATAAAATAAATGTGGGAGATCAAATTGATTCCAGGTGGCTACTGAATAGTATGTTCGCTGAGGAAAGTTACAAGACAGAGATTACCTCTACCGGAAAATTTATATAAATTTAAATGACAGAAATTAGTAAAACACCATTTATTTTTTTTGAGCGTATTAAATATAAAAATGTTCAACATCAATGAAAAGTAAGTATAATACCACAAAAAAAGGAAAAGCATATATGTGAAAGAATTCTTCACATCATTAATTTTAGAGAACTTCTTACAAGTTCAAGGTTTTCATTTTTCTATGAATATCAATAATTAAGTATAATTTTTAAAATGAAGACCTTAACTAAATGTCATAAAACAATGGGTGAAGTAGCAAAGGAGCATATGAGAAGGGTATGCCACCTTAGAACTAAAGTAGATAAAAAATTGAACACTTTTAAACAAACACAAAATATAGCAAGTTAAAGGTTTTTAGAATAGATAAAACTAGGGGAAGGAGGGAGTGATACTTCACCTACAGTCTACCATCAGTATTTGCTTAATACAGAAACACCTGTCGTGGTGAGCAGGATTTGAGATATTTAAATAAGCTGACATTTAAAAAGCCATTCCTGCCGAAACCGGTTTGGCTCAGTGGATAGAGCGTCGGCCTGCGGACTGAAAGGTCCCAGGTTCGATTCCGGTCAAGGGCATGTACCTGGGTTGCGGGCACATCCCCAGTAGGAGATGTGCAGGAGGCAGCTGATCGATGTTTCTCTCTCATCGATGTTTCTAACTCTCTATCTCTCTCCCTTCCTCTCTGTAAAAAATCAATAAAATATATTTAAAAAACAAAAAACAAAAACCAAAAAAAAAAAAGCCATTCCTATTCAGCTTTGGAAAGTGGTGAAATATGGTGGACTGCAGGAAAGAGACTAGGTATAGCTTTCTTCATAGAACTTATTGCCTCACATATAACTAACTGATCTTTTATTTACTATATCTCTTCCCTCTCCCAGAACTCCTAATAGCACAGGCATTGTTTTGTTCATTCCTGTATCCCCAGCACCTAGAACATAAAGGTCAGATAAAGGCAGCAGGAATATTAAAAGTTAGGAAAGAGTGAAGTCAGGTAAAGAAAAGAAGTCAGGTGAAGGTTTTAAAATTCAATGGAGTTAATTCACAAAGCAAGCACATAAGACAAAGTACATTGATGCTTTTGTAAAAAATTCAGATTTCAATCTAGGAAACCATCACTAGTGTAAAATAAAATGATAGCTGAAATCTTGATGTTTTAAATAGCTATGACTCTAGAATTGGGAACTTAAAATGCCCAAGGAACAGAAAACTTTAAGCCCATATATTCACCACTGTGCCTTGTCTGCTGAATTCATGTCTACTGACTGACATGAACCCCAAAGTTTGTATTGAAGTATGCATTATTTAAACACACTTCAGGGGACACATCATCCTTTAAATACCTAACTCTCCAGAAGCTGAACATTTCCAGAACTTACTGGACAGAGAAAGCTTGCCTAGAAGGCTCAGTATTCCAAGCTATATTTTGGACACGCTGTTCCTAAATTTGCCTGCAAGCTAAAGCCTTTAAGCTACAGACATCACTTTATTACAACCTGATGTTGTAGTAGTTATTCATTCCTTTTCTTGTGCACACTTTATATACAACATAGTTGCAAAAGTAACCCAGCATAACATTCTGTTTACATGTATACATGTGTCTCTGTATGTATGTGTATGCATACATGTGCAAGAGAAAGAGAATGTGTATTTTGTTAAAACTATTCTTGAAGAATCAGTTTTACATTGTCTTGGAGTCCTAACTTTGCCACTAAAAAAGTGGGAACCACTGAACAAGTTACTTACCATGTCAAAGTCTGTTTTTTCATGTTAAAATGGGGCTAATTATTATCATATTTCAAAGATTTTTTAGTAGGTTGAAATAATACATATAAATAATTTTACTAGAACAAATGCTATTTTCTTTTATATGTTATTTGTCTTCCAACTAAAGTAAATGGGCTAATTTTTCCCAACTTATTTAGATATGAAGTTACCTAAAAATTCTTACCAAAGTCATAATTCTCAGGAATCCACAAAATAAGAGTGATTTATATTACATAAAAAAGCTGCAACTTTCAGATGAACCTTAAATATTTTCTAACCAGTATTTTGTGAGCTTGCATTGATGATCTAACTTTTTAACTTTAATTTCTGTTACTATGTCACAATTGAAATGTATTTAATTCTGCACCAACAGTCTTAAATCTTTGGTCACAGTTTATGATAAATCTGTGAAGCTATGAAGGGGTTTTCCAGAAGGGATACTTGAAACATTTACAATGATATGACTGAAAGGTTTTCCTCAGGTATGGGGAAGTGCCCTCTAATCTCAAGGTCAGAAGGCTCACGGTGAAATGCCATCAGTAATGGCAACAGCACCAGTTGCCTGCAGTCCAGAACTGTGTGCTCTGCTCTGCTTTGCCCTGCTGTGTGACCCGGTCCCTCCATCCCAGCGGTTCTCAACCTGTGGGTCGAGACCCCTTTGGGGGTCGAAAGACCCTTTCACAGGGGTCGCCTAAGACCATCGGAAAACACATATATAATTACATATTGTTTTTGTGATTAATCACCATGCTTTAATTATGTTCAATTTGTAACAATGAAATTGGGGGTCACCACAACATGAGGAACTGTATTAAAGGGTCGCGGCATTAGGAAGGTTGAGAACCACTGCTCCATCCCTTCATCTCTGTGCCTGAGTTTCCTCAGCTGCAACACTGGAATAATCACACGTGTCACTTACTTACTATAGAGGAGTGCCACCATAAAGCCTTTAAAAGCACTGCAAAAGGCTGGGGTGGTACAAGATTTATCAAACCTATAATGCTCTTTTGTAAATCAGCAACGTTAAAGATTTTTGTTTATTTATAAACTTGTAAAAGGCTGTTTATTAAATTTTCTCAAATTTCATATAAAATCCTTAACTAAATTATCTAGACTATCTTAATTAATTATTTAGAAACTCTTTCAAGGATTGGAATCCGAGTTCCTTTCGCTATATAATTTCTTTCTTTTGGGCCTTCTTCCAGGCAATGTCCTTTAAAACTGTAAACTTAAGGATGAGAAATTAGAATCCCATGATCAATGTCATTTTTACCTTAAACCTTAGAAGAAATAATTCTTTTAGAATATAAACTTAAAAATTAAACTGTTTGATTAGATTTTAGCTTGTATAATTGCTTAAAAATATACTATATATCCTTAAATTTTGTACAACTGTACATGTTTCTTTTGTATTCTATATTATTCATATGGTCTAAGGTTTTGTTTTCTACGTCAGTACTTAAGACTTTTTGGAAAATAAAATTGCTATAAATTAATTTTCTACATTACTAATACAATTAATATAAAATAAAATTCAAAAGGCTCCTTTCGAGTGTTGATTAACAATATTTTAAAAATCAATTTAACAAATACAAGTAGCCTACTAAGTGCCTGTCAGTGTACTAGGAACTCAGAATATAAAAAGATGGCCTTGTCCTCAGAGAGCTTATAATCTACTGTAGGACAACAGTATTTAAATTTGTACGTTGTGTATTATTAAACACTTGGGCAAGTACATTAACTGTTATACTGGGACCACATTATTAAAGTACTATACAGCAATAACTTATTTCTAGAAGTTATATATACATACGTACAAGAGAGAATAGAGCTCAATGCACTGTATTTATTACAATCCTGATATTAAAAAATATAGAGAAAATTTCCACTCTTTTTCAAATACTGGTCTTGGGCTAGAATTAATTATCCATTAGCTTTTTCTTTTTATTCAGTAGTCCTTATTTGCAAGATGAATAGGCAAGCTAAAGGTGTACACTGGTCTTGGATGTGGCAAAATGGGTACACAAAAAACTAAAATGTGAAGTACTGGCAGCTGTCTCTAGCTAATCGATTGGCCTAAAAAGAGCACACCTTGTCCAAGATACTACTACTTGTTTTTCTCATAGACAATCTAAAATTAAAACAAACAGAAAACAAAGAAGAAACCATTCCATGAGTAATAAATGTTTCATAGGACAAAGTATAATATGGAGACCAAAAGACTGAGAAATATTTCCCAAGGCAAAAGAAAAAAATAAAATGGTATTCACATTCTTCAGTCTATTAAGTAGAATAATTACAGCGAATCCCAGAACATCTAACTTTGACAAATTCATTTGTAAAGTCTTTTAAAAAGATCTAAATATCACCAACACCTATTTGTCATTTTTATTCATACTACTAGATAGCTGATCACATTTCTTGATAAAAAATGATTAGTCATTTATTATTTGTGTCCTTTTGTAATAAAAATTGATCACAGATAAAAGAATTGCAATAAAACCAACCAACAACCATCACTGACATGTGCCAACTCAATCGTACAAAAGGATTAAAATACATAGAAGTGGACTGATTATTACTTATGAAAATAAGTATAACTAAAGAAATAAAAGAATTTTACAATCTGATTAAAAGATGCTGGATTTTGAAATGTAAAATAAAATTTTGCTGAATATTTGCCAAATTTCCAGATTGAATTTTTCAGATAATTTCCCATCCACAGGAACATTTCTCTACTGTTACACTTTAAGAGTTATATACACGAACTTAAAGTACTGCAATGACAGTATCTAAATTCTTATATACTTTGGCTCACTATTTAAGCATCTATTATAAATACAACCTAGCTTTGCTTTAATAATTAGCTTTATACAACTCACCACTTCTGCATCAATTGCAACCTGAGCGAAGCCTTTACGATTACCCCATATGATGTTGTAGGTTTCATCACTAATTAGGGCTTCTCGAACTCCACCTGGTGAAATAGCTAACAAGTGACCACTCCTCAGAATTTCAACACATTTTTCTCTTGGTCCATGTAGAGCACAAAATACATCAAGTAATAAACTAAACCCTGTAAGAAACATTAGCATGAATATGTATCTTAAGTATTTCTTGTCCAATTCTTCAAGAGCAAATATCTTCACAACCTATAAAATGTGCTATCTATACTTAAATCAGTAAATTCTTTTTAACTTTTTAAAAATCAACAAGAACTCTCAAGGTTAACATAAGGTTACTATTGCTGATAAAATAATAGCTTCATCTTATACATCACCTACTATTGATGACCTCTTAGTGATCACCTTCTACTCTGGCTACTTTACATATTCAAATTTTTAATTAAAACTCACAAAAACCTTGGAAAACAGGGATTCTTATCCTTATTTTAAAGTTGGCTCAGAGTGTAAGTGGATTGCTCAACGTCACACACCAAGCAAGTGGCAGGGCAGGGATTCTGGTCCAGGTATATCCAGGTATATCTAACCCAAAGTTCCTTCCACTAGCATCTCATAGCTAAACACTGTCTACAGCATTTATTATATCAGCAGTCACAAATCTAACCTTCCATTAAACCTATAAGAAAGACTCACTCAAGAGCATGTGAATCTGACTATGCTTAGCCCTACCAAAATTGGCAAGCCATAATAAAATCTACTGAAATTAAAAGTAAGATGATGCTAATTCCAAGAAAATTTTATGTCAATAATAATAGCAAAATCATTAAGAGATTTTACTAAAGTGAGTGTTTGACTTAGGAACAGCTAATTGCAGGTCCTAATAGTATATAATTTAAAAAATTACAACTATTTTAGAAGAAAATATAATCCTGTCAAGTAATTAAATATTTTAAGCAAATCCTAAACTGAAACTTTAGAGTACTGATGATAGTATACATTATTCCTTAAAACTGGAAAATGAAATGAGTAGTAAAAACTATGCAGACTAATCAACCTTCTCATAGGTTTAAGGATCTAAAACAAGATTATAAATATTATTAAAATTGAAATAATTTTCATGTTACATTACATTAAAAGCCCACTGATTTAATTAGAGCAGTATCATAGTAAATGAATGAACAAGGGAGGTTTCCTGAATGATAAGATCACAAAGGGGGAAAGTACTTTAAAAGCCAAAGGCTAAATAAAAATATTCACTTTCTATTATGTATAAGAAGAAAAAAATGGAAGTACCCTAATGTTTCATAAGAGAAAACTAAGTAATTAAATATTTTAGTCATCCATTGAAACTATTCTTTACTTAAGCATAATACGTGAATATGTGAATTAAAAATGAAACAAGCCGAAACCAGTTTGGCTCAGTGGATAGAGCGTCGGCCTGTGGACTGAAAGGTCCCAGGTTCGATTCCGGTCAAGGGCATGTACCTGGGTTGCGGGCATATCCCCAGTAGGAGATGTGCAGGAGGCAGCTGATAGATGTTTCTCTCTCATTGATGTTTCTAACTCTCTATCTCTCTCCCTTCCTCTCTGTAAAAAAATCAATAAAATATATTTAAAAAAAAAATGAAACAAAATAAATTAAAAGGCTAACTGGTTATATTAGAGTAACAAGATTACTAGTATAATGATGTTTTTTCCTCTAATTTTCAAATTTTACTATAAAGTGATCATATTACTTTCTAAAGAAAAACCTTTGATAGTCTATTTAGTTTATACACAAAATACAAATGACTGCCCTAGCTTGTTTGGCTCAGTGGATAAAGCATCGACCTGCAGACTGAAGGGTCCCAGGTTCAATTCCGGTCAAAGGCACATGCCCGGGGTTGCGGGCTCAATCCCCTAGGAGGCATGCAGGAGGCAGCCAATCAATGATTCTCTCTCATTCACTGACGTTTCTATCTCTCTCTCCCTCTCCCTCCCTCTCTGAAATCAACAAAAATATATTTTTAAAAATACAAATGTCTTTTTAGTGACCTAAGGATACCCAAAACATTAACCATGTCTATGAAAGGCACTGAGTAGACTGTTATTTAATTCACTGTTTGGTGTTTGTCTGGTTGATAGGTCGCTTTTTTTTTTTTTTTTTTTTTTTTATTCCAGAGCACAAACTACAAACTTTCTGGCTTGTTTCTGGTAATTTAATAACAGACGAAAATAAGATTAAATCTCAATGAGTTTACAGAGATTTTTAAAAGAGAATTCTATTGTGCTTGAAAACATTTGGTTAATTAATCTTTTTTAAAGGGTACAAAGCCTTTATGAACAGATTAAAAAGAATGTGGTCCTCAATCTTAAGTTATAAGTCTACCAAGTATTAAGTCAAGAAATATGACAAAAAAAACATAATAGACTCTCTGTACCAAAATATACATTACCTGGCAAAAGTTATAATTTAATTTTTAAAAGTAAAAGTTCAGGATTTAACTTTGAAAAATAAGGTCTAACTACCTGATAATAAAGAAAGAGACCAAATAAGCTTTTAGCTATAATCAGGATAACTAGATGCTCCCAAATTGGAGTTCCAAATGTGTAAACTAAAAAGGCAAAAAGTTTTTCCAAATGATACCAGAAAGCTCAAAGATACAGACTATCCCATAATTTGACTGTGTTAATTAACATTATGTACAGTGAAAGTTTACCTGGAATTTTAAAGACAAAGTGATCAGCTACTACTCGGCAAGTTCTGCCTTTTTGGATAAAAATTTTAGCCATGAAGTAATAAAAATCTATGGGAATAGCTCCATGATAAAAAATTATAAGCGCTGGTCCTTCTGGTATTTTTTCCATTCCATGAACTTCATAACCTGTTAGAAAGACAAAATGCAAATACTTAAAATATGCTTATTATTAAGTATACATTAGGGGAAAAACAAAGCAAAACAGTGATCAGAAATTTGAACTTGATGTCAAGAAACCATCTCTCCAATAATACAAGTAAAATTAGAGAACAAGGGTTTCAGCAAGGGAAGCAAATGACAGGTTGTAAAGGGTAGTGGACGTGAGGAGAGGAATGAGACTCTTCTAATTTAATCTGTTCTCCTCCACCAGCTAAGTTAATCTGCCTACTGCCCTTCACACTGTTACCAAACACCAATACATTTTTTTATAGCAATCCTGTGTACTGTTGGTGGATTGTGAGGAATATTAAGGTAAGCTCCACCTATGTTTCAGAGGAAAATACTCTTGAGTATTTTATCATAGGAGTTGGGAACTGATACTCCAAGGAGCACGTGAAATGTGATCATGGCTCTAGTTATAAGATCTGCTTTTTCTTCCCATCTCACCAGTCAGGTCACAGGCTCAGCAGGTCCCAGCAAAAAGAAAAATGCCTACTGAACAAATGGGTCAATGAAGGCATCAAACGAGAAATAAAAAACAGTATCCTGAGACAATTGAAAATGAAAATGCAACATATTTGTCTTGGCCCATGTGGCTCCGTTGGTTGGAGCATCATCCAGTAAACTAAAAGGAGGCGGGTTCAATTTCCAGTCAGGGTACATACTGGTCAGGTTGTGGGTTTGATCCATGATAGGGGCATGTATGGAAGGCAACTGATCAATGTTTCATTCTCACAGCTATGTTTCTCTCTCTCCCTCTCCCTTATTCTCTCTCTCTCTCTCTAAAGAAAAAAAAAAAATCAATGAAAACATGTCCTCAGGAGAGGATTAAAAAAAAGAGAAATGCAACGTACTAAAACTTAATAAGATGCAGCAAAGGCAGTTCTAAGATGTTTTTGTTATTATTTTTCATGTAATAAAGGAACACCATTTTGGTTGATACTGCATCCAATTAAATAAAATTGCTTTGGAAGACTTTCTGGAAAGAAGGAAGGGAGGGAGGGAGGTAGGGAGGGAGGGAGGGAAAAAGCAAGCATCCAGAGGCCAAGAGCATTATTAAGCTCAAAGAAAAAGGAAAGGTAAAAAGGAAATTTCCTTGACTATAGCAGAAAAGGGAAGGAAGTTCCTACAGCCATACACTGCCCCACACAGAACAGCTCTCCCAAGGATTGCTGCTCACATGTCAGAGACAAAAGAAGAATCCAGAATATGGAAATCTGAAACTTTTAGTCTGTTTCTTTCCCTTAAGGTTTTATCCACTTGCTTTGCTAAGAAACAAGCATTCAAATAAAGATTTCAGTATAAATTTTAGTGCAGGAAATTCATTTTTATGGTAGTTTCTGAGGTCTTCACCAAACAGATTAAATTAAGAGTGGTGACTGTGATTCTAGTACTGAAAGCATGAACTACTTGATAGTAATTCAAGTGGATGCAAGATAATGATTAAGAATTTTAAAAAAAATTTAATTATAGTTGACATTTAATATATTAGTTTCAGGTCAAGAGAATGAAAGCTTGTAAAAATTAAATTTAGTGATATTTCAAGATTTCATGTTTTTGTTTTTTAACATTTCTTTCCAATTACCTAATACTAATTCAAGTTAATTCAATTTACTTTAAGCTTGACAGAACAATCACTAAAGTTATCTGAAGTTACCAAAAGCATCAACTGTCTCATCAGATACATTTTCTGAGAAATAAAGAATACTTCTTTGAGGGATTCTATACAAAATATTTTTGAGGTTCTTTCTTGCTTTCAGAATATTTTTAAAAAATAATTAAGAAATAATTGAACTACTTACATATACCAAATCATCTGGTTGAAAGCAGAAAAGTTTAGCTAATTAATTCAATTCTTGACAGAAACTATAGTTTACCATAGTGCCAATAAACATAAAGCCCAAATGTTGTTTAACTGTGTCACTCCTAAAGCACAAATGGATCATATCACTCCTGCCTCGGAAAGCATCAGTGGATTATCACTTTAGTCCAACAAGTGATAATTGCCCATCTAGTGATATTATTCAGATTCTTTCATGCATCATATGGACCGATGATGGCTCCCTGACTACTAGTATGCTTTCCCACCTTTGTGCTTCTGTTCATCTAAACAGAGCACTTCTGGTCCAATGTTTTCCTGTGTAGCAGAAGTAGAAATCTTAGAGTACTTTAACTCCTCCTCTCTGACTCTATTCACCTGGTCACCAACTTCAATGCAAAAACTCTCTTAAATGTACCATTTTCTTCCCAATGTTAGTTTCAAAGTGTGGCCCATCGTCTCCTGCCTATACTACACCAATCCTGAGGGGATCTGATGAGCAAGAGCTCAGAGAAAGCAATCACAAAGGCAATTATGGTCAATGTCCATCCAACCACTGTCCAGGGAGGAGGAGCCTCAATATGCAGATTTTGAGTAGTCTGGGCTCCATTAATAAGAACATACTATTCTGGGATGAATATGGCTCTTATTTGATGCCGTTAAATACAAATTTATTACCTCCCCTGCAGTGACCCAATGCTCACTAAGCACGCTCCTGAGTTTTTGGCTTTCCATGTAGCTTAGCCCACAGAGAGAGGATCTGACGGCTATACTGGAGCTCAAGTAGTCTCATCTCCATAGCAGTATTTATTAGGTAAAGGTGTTAACCTGCTACTGGCTTAGACATCAGCAGCATGAATTCAGATAAGAATAATCTCCTCCTGAGATAGATCCCTTCTAAATTTGTCCTAAAAAACCCCTACACGCTGCTCAGCCAGGTGGCTCAGTTGGCTGAGCATTGTCCCACCCACCAAAAAGTTTCAGGTTCGATTCCTGGTTGGGCACATAACTATTTGATACCTAGTCAGGGTTCATCAGGAGGCAACCAATTGTCACACATTCATATTCTCTCTCTCTCTCTCTCTCTCTCTCTCTCTCTCTCTCCCTGCACCTTCCCTCCCTCTTTTTCTCTAGAATCAATGAATCCTTGGGTGAAGATTAATAAAATAAATTATACACATTATGGTAAATTATGGTAAATTTTAGGTGACTATTATTTTATTTTTATTTTTTGACACATTTTTTACAATGAACATTTATATTAGTTAAAAATTCCTTTGAAGCTGAGACCGGTTTGGCTCAGTGGATAGAGCGTCGGCCTGCGGACTGAGGGGTCCCGGGTTCGATTCCAGTCAGGGGCATGTACCTGGGTTGCGGGCGCATCCCCAGTGGGAGATGTGCAGGAGGCGGCTGATCGATGTTTCTCTCTCATCGATGTTTCTAGCTCTCTATCTCTCTCCCTTCCTCTCTGTAAAAAATCAATAAAATATATTTTTTAAAAAAAATTCCTTTGAAGATTCTTTAAAAAGCATGATTAAAACTGACTTGACACCAATACAAAATCCAAATATGCATACAAACGCCTTTTATATGTGACACTAAAGAACAGGATAAAGAAAATCATTTTAAAAGTTTCATTTACCGCCCTAGCTGGTTTGGCTCAGTGGACAGAGTGTCAGCCTGTGGACTGAGGAGTCCCAGGTTTGATTCTGGTCAAGGGCACATGCCCAGATTGCGGGTTCATCCCCAGTAGGGGGCGTGCAGGAGGCAGCCAATCAATGATTCTCTCTCATCATTGATGTTTCTCTGTCTCTCTCCCTCTTCCTTCCTCTCTGAAAGCAATAAAATTTTTTTAAAGTATCATTTATCTAATAAAAATGTTATCATAATAAAACATTAAAACAGTAAGAACTATATATATATATACATTTTTTGGGGTCCCTGGGTGGGCTTGAAAGGTATATACATTTTAACCTCCTCTGAGTCATAAGTGCATGTTTTAAAATACCTCAATAATTAAATAAGACACCTCAAAATTAGATATTCTGCTACAAATAAGTTCAGCACTTGAAGTTATCCAAATTAAACCATCATGTCTCCTAAAATATAAATAAATTTCAACTATTCCTTACAAAGCATGTTATCCTGAGCTACGGGGGGAGGGAGTACAAGGGGGGGCGCGGGGGCATGTATATATGTGGGAGGGAGTATTGTAAATGACACCACTGAATTTTTGTATCACTGTTTTAAAGAGAATGAATAATAGCAGTCTACCTAGATGCAGTCTCTGCAGCACACACACATGGAATGCTGAAGTATTGCCTTGCCTCATGTTAAACAGCCATCAGAGAGTGTGAGAGTTGTACTGACTAACAAGAGCATTAGTATAAATGAGTAAATATTAGAAATTTAATTCATCAAAGACATATGGTTCCTGTTTGCAAACCTGCTGAATACCACTACTTCTGACCCTGAGTCCCCAATCTGGGACAAACTTACCACAGAGCACAGATCGTAAAAGCATACATCTTAGAGCTTGATATCTAAGGTTGCATTCTGGCTCTTCCTCCTAGCTTCCTAGGGTGCCTTGGGCAAATAACAAACTCTCTGCTTCCTCAAGGCAAAACTATAAAATGGAGGTAACAGAACCTATCTATTATGTTATCCTACATAATAAAAGGCTAATATGCAAATCAACCGAACCACGGACTGGTCACTATGACGTGCACTGACTACCAGGAGGTTGCAGGCCGGGCTGAGGGACTCCCCTCCCCGCACCCCTCAAGTGCATGAATTTCGTGTACCAGGCCTCTGGTAAGGTATAAAAGAATTAATGCATGTTAAGCATTTTACAGTATATGGCAGTGGTTCTCAACCTTCTGGCCCTTTAAATACAGTTCCTCATGTTGTGACCCAACCATAAAATTATTTTCGTTGCTACTTCATAACTGTAATGTTGCTACTGTTATGAATCATAATGTAAATATCTGATATGCAGGATGGTCTTTGGCGACCCCTGTGAAAGGGTTGTTCGACTGCCAAAGGGGTCACGATCCACAGGTTGAGAACCGCTGGATATGGCATAGTTACGTGCTCAAAAAAAATTTGTAAGATTGTATATAGTATTAAATTGACAACACATTAACCTAATAAGCATGTCACTGGTGATCTTTGGTAAGAGCAGCTTTATACTTACATATAATTTTAAGTGTCTATTTTTTTAATTAAAGTATAATTGACATATAATATATTAGCTTCAGGTGTACAAAACAGTGACCTGACATTTATATTCCTTAGAATGATCACCACCTCAGATGTCTATTTCAAAATCTGTGCTTCCTTCTATGACTTTCTGTGAAAACACTTTTGATGCTCAACAAGATGATATACAGGGCACATCTTTGTTACCAGCCTATTGAACTTCTGTATTTTTGTATAGTCCAAAACAAAAGAGACCAACAAATAAGGTAAAAACTGATAGAGAAAAACACCAAGTTCTTGAAAATAGGCCACTAGAGGGCAAGTTTCACGACAGCCAAATGAAGAACCACCAACCATTAAATGCACATTACATTTTCTGAAATAACAAAGAAAAAAATGAATATCCTGGAGATAAACGCACTGCTATCTCATTTATTGAGAAAGATATAATAACCTCTGAAATGAATCATACCTAAAAAGGTTAACTTTTGGTATACAAATTATATTTAGTATTCATTTTTAAAATATCTCTACACTGGGAAAGTCAAACCTATTTTAAACAATAGGAATTAAATGGAACTAAATACTAAATAATTAAAGTATTTTCAAAACAGTTTTCTATAATGTTTTAAAAAGTCTCTTACTCTTTTAGATGTCTTAAATATCAATTTTTCTATTTTAGCTTATAGTAATAGTCTAACTGCTGTGTAGTTCTTTAATGGACACTAATGTATTTGGGAAAAATCATTTTAAAACGTATACATGCACAATGCGTGCAAATAGATAAAAAATAGTAAATATCCCATTACATTTTTCAGTATCTTCTCCATCAGTGAAATGGAATGATATCGTTTCCATGCCACAAACACAAACAGCAACACATAGAAATCAATGCGATCTTGCTTACCATGCCAAACTGCTGCATGTCCATCCCACAGTGTTGCTACTGTCTTCCTTGCGCCATCCCATAAATTATGAGAATAGGCTTCTTTTAATACATTCTTCCTCTTATAAATGTGTAAGAAAACAATAGTAAGGTAGAGAAGAAAAATAGTAAAGTAAGGAAGTATTAAAAGTATTAGTGGTGTAAAAACCCATACGAGATAGTTTGCAAAATTCAAATAGTCCTCCAATTGTTCCACGCCAAACCATTCTTCAAATATGTGAATCAGACAACTCATATAGGGCATAGAGTCCTGTCCTGTACAGGTTTGATTTTTGTCTATCATTTTTCTTTAGGTGAAAATGACAAATTCAGTTTCTTTCTTCATTATCATGACAAGTCTTTAATTTTGCCACTAGAATGGAAAAATAATCCAATGTTACTCTTTTCATAGCTAAAAAGTTAAATATTTTAGTCTATATAAATACTATATAAAGTCATTTCTACCAAAAATGAGTAGATTGTTGCAGGTTTAAATGTGAAAATTATAAGATTTTATTTGTCCACTCAGAAAGTGTATCAGGTTTAGCTTTTGAAATAACTCACAAGTTATAACTGAGAGAGGGAAATAAGGCTGATGAATAAAACTTCAGATTGATCTTAATAATTTGACTTTTACCTTAAGTAGAGCATACTGAATGTATCTTACACCAGGTTATGTTGAGATAACTCTATTCTTCACAAAAGATAACATTAATATCTGATTCAATAAAAGTAACTCATGTCTTTAGGAAATTATGACATACATTTTTGGATATTATCTTTTATAAGCAGGTTTATAGAAAAGCTGTCTTTTCCTTTGGCATTATGTAATAGTAAAATTTTATCAGTATCATTTTTATCTTCTAAAAATTATCTTAAATCTTAAATGCCTGAAAATATAGCCATACAATTATTTTATGTTACTCTCTAAACCTGTCAGTTAACTTACCAGAAATCAGATAAATATCTTGTCCCAAGCTTCTATGTATGTATTCTGGAAAACAGCATATAAATGGGAAAAAATATGATTTTTAAAAAGATAATCATCAATACTAGAGTTAAATTTTCCATACAATAGCAAGAAACATGCAAAAACATGTGACAAATATGAATACAGCCCACACTAGTGTATCACAATTAAAAATTATACTCACTCAATTATGCTTTAGTGAGGACACCTCTATATACTGTCTACATGTTGTTTACTTCCCACCTGAGACTTTTTTGTGGTTTTTTTTTAATTCAGAACTCAGAGCTATGAAAAACTTTGCTTCTTCAGAAAAAAAGAGCATGAAGTTTAGATTTGTAACTGATCGTGTTGTTGTTGTTTTTTCAGTAAATTTGCCAGATAATAAGCTGGTCAAACATGATGTTCAATGATACATTTATATTAGCCCTGATGATCATGTTCTCCTATTTGTGAAAAATCTGGACCTACCATGGTAACAGAAGTAAACACAGCACACATTAAGACTGGGCTCATCCTGGCCAGGTAGCTCAGGTGATTAGAGAATCATCCCAATGCACCAAGGTTGTGGGTTCGATACCCGGTCAGGGCACATACAGGAAACAACTAGCTCTAGCTGGTTTTGCTCAGTGGATAGAGCATAGGCCTGCAAACTGAAGGGTTACAGGTTCAATTCCAGTCAAGGGCATGTACCTCAGTTGCATGATCAATGATCCGCGGCCCCATGGCATGTACGGGAGGCAACCAATCAATGTGTCTCTCTCACATGGGTGTTTTTCTCTCTCTCCCTCCCTTCCACTCTCTCTAAATATCAATGGAAAAATATCCTTAGGTGAGTTTTAACAAAACAAAACAAAACAAACAAAAAAAAGAAAGAAAAGTAACAACTAACGAATGCATAAATAAGCGAAACAACAAATCAATGTTTCTCTCTCAAAATAAGTAAAACATTTTAAAAAAATACAGTGGGCTTTATTTACATCAGATTCTAATAAATCTAAAGAGTTAAATCAATATAATCTACCAGTGTTTGATCATTTAGAATGTTAACATAAAAAAACATTTTTTTTAAAAATTAGAGTTTTCCCCATTAGGATGGCTATAATTTTTAAAAAATGGAAAAGAACAAGTGTTGGTGATGATGTGAAGAAATTAGAACTTTCACACATTGCTGGAGGGATGTACATGTTGCAACCACTGTGGAAATCGGTTTGACAGCTCCTCAAAAAGCTATTACCCCAGAGTTACCAAATGACCTAGCAATTCTACTCTTAGGTATATATCCAAGAGGACTGGAAACATATTCACATAAAAATCTGTATACGAATGTTGACAGCAGCATCATTCATAACAGCTAAAAAGTGGAAATAAACCAAGTGTCGTCCATCAACTGATGAACAGATAAAGAAAGTGTGCTATACCAGTAAGAGAATACTATTCAGGTATGAAAAAGTAATGAATTACTGGCTCATGCTACAATATGCATGAACCTTGATAACATTATAAAGAGTAAAAAACAGTCACACACTAAGGGCCACATTTTGTATGATTCCATTTATATAAAACTAGAGGCCTTGTGCACAAATTGGTGCACGGAGGGGCAGGGCGGGGGGGGGGGGGGGGGGGACGCGGGAGGTTGGCCGCCAGCCCTCGGCCTCCCTAGGAAAGGGACCGCATCCACCGCCACCCGAAGGCCCCAGCAGGGTCAGGAGAGGAGGGGACAGTCGCTGGCTGGGCATGGAAAGAACAGATGCCAGATACCGACGCCTCCCTCGGTGCCCCACCACTGCGTCGTTCCCCACCTCTCCCCCTCCTCCTTCCCTCACTGCTGCGCCACCACCATGGCGGGCGGCCGGCCCTGGGGAAGGGAGAGAATGGGAGCAAGACAAACCCTTGTGTCGAGGGCTGACTTTCAATAGATGGCAGTGAGGGAGCTGCTCTGCTACATACGAAACCCCGACCCAGAATCAAGTCTCTCTGAATGGTTTAGCACCAGAGGCCGTTGGAGGCCAGCCGGCCGGGGGGAGAGGCTGCGGGAGGTTGGCTGTGGGAGCGTACTGACCACCAGGGGGCAGCTCCTGCATTGAGCATCTGCCCCCTGGTGGTCAGTGCGCATCATAGCAACTGGTGGACCGGTCGTCGTGGTCGTTCGGTCATAACAATCGCTTAGGCTTTTGTATAGATACCTAAAACAGGCTAATCCACAGAGACAGAAAGATTAGTGGTTGGTTGCCAGGTGCTGGGGGAGGGAGCAATGAGAACTGACTGCTAATGGAAACAGAGGTGTCTTCTGGAGATAATGAAAATGTTCCGATAGTAGTGATGTTTGTACAACCTTGTAAATTTACTAAAAACCACTGAGGTGTATACATTTTATAATGATGAATGTTATGGTGAATTATACCTCAATAGAAAAATAACTTTTAAATATCCTATATAATAAAAGGCTAATATGCAAATTGTCCCCTCGGGAGTTCGACCACCCGCTATGACGTGTGCTGACCACCAGGGAGCGGCACAGAATGAAGGAAGGCCCTGGCCAGCAGCTGGCAGCCAGGGAAAGGAAGACCCCAGCCAGCAACCGGAAGGCCCCGATCAGCCCTAATCACCGGCCAGGCCTGGGGAACCTACCCGTGTACAAATTTCGTGCACCGGGCCTCTAGTTATTAATAAATTAAAATTTGTGATAGCCTCTCAAATATGTTAGAAGCTTTTCTAATGCCTAAAAATCAATCATGTTGATGCTCTAAAATACAATTAATACAATTGCTCCTAAAAATCTAGTCTCATTTCTGATTTTTAATAGGATTGCAAAATCATATAATTTTAAAGCCTCTCCCAACCCAAATTGTTAATCGAACTACACCTCTTATCCTCAATCACATTCTGATTTATTATACATATTAACGCACACAGTAAAAGAAAGAAGGACAGTGTATAGGCAGACATCCAGTGAGAGTTTACAGGGAAACCTGCATGAGGTACAGCAGTGCTTTAACAGTGCCCCAGGGCTGGGTGCAAGAACCTCCACAAAGGGTTGTCCTTGATTCCAATTTAAACCCCTCCAGAACAGAAAACTCAAAAGGTGTCCCATTCCTTCTTCAAAACCACCCATTGAAGTACTAAAAAGATCTTCCTTATACGTCCCTCACTGTAACTTTTCCCTACTGGACCTAGTTCTGTACTGTAGAACCTCTTCCATTAGACAACCTCTTAAGTTTCAGGACAGCTATCGTGAGCTGTGAAATCCCTTTTCTAGTCAGAATCCTTAATTCTTTCAACCATATTTCAGATGTTCGTTTCGTAGCCTTTCACCCCTCAGGCTACTTCCTGATAGTGAGAGGAGCATGTAACCCACCTGTGCCAGAGAGAAAAATATACAGCAGGGCAAGAAGAATATGGAGATCTATAGTAGGCAAGACGACGGTACGAAGGGCAGAGGGGCACTATGTTACATGGGTAGGCTGGGAAGGCCTCTATAAAAGCACATTTAAGCAGAAACCTCAGGAAGTGAGGAAACAAACCATGTGGGTATTAGAAAGAGAATTCCTGACGAAATGAACGGTAAGTAGAAAGGATGTACACTTGGTGTGGTCTGCTGAGCAGCAAGGTAGGCTAAAGAAGCATGATAGGGAGAGCAGTCAGAAATGGGCAGAGAGAACTTGTAGAACTTTATCTAAGGGAGATGAAGAAGACATCAGAGGAGGGAGATTGCCTGATGGGTTTTAAATGACTGCTGAGTTAAGAATATACTATACAGGGAGCAAATAGGAAGTTATTGCAATAACTGAGATGAGTGATGAAAGTGGCTTAGACAGTGTGGCAGAGTGAAGGTCATACAAGATAATCCAGTTCTGGATATATTTTGAAGATACAGTCAAGAGGATTTGCTGATGAATGGATATAGAATATGAGTGAGAAACAGAGGCCTGGAAGGACAACACAGTTTTGGGGCAACATGGCTTTGTGTCCTGGGAGGCTCTGCTACCCCCTGTGTGACATAGACAAGTTACTTAATATCCCTGCCTCAGTTTCTCCATTTGTAAAATGGGGGTTAATAACAGTACCTACTTAATAAGACTGTTATGAAGACTGTATATTAAAAAGCTGAGAAGAGTGCCTTCCAATATATAAGCACTAAATAAATATTGCTGTCATCATCAGCTTACTTGTGAAAGATGGGATTGCAGAAAGAACAGGTTTGGGGGTGGGATGAAGATCCGGAATTCAGTTTTGAACATGTTAAGATTCTTCTGGACATCCGAGCGAAGAGTGAAGACATTACATAGGCAGCTGGATATACGCAGAGTGCAGCAGGGAGATAGGGACTCCAGAACTATATCTAGGAATTGGCAACATATAGACAGTATTGAAAACCATGAAACTAAATATCCCTCTAGGGAGTAAATATAAAATAAAAAAGAATTTCCATGACTGAGCCATGAGGCACTCAACACTTTAGAATTTGGCAAGACAAGGAGGAACCAGCATCCTATCCGCCTTCCAGGAGTGGCATCTTGAATGTCAAAGGCAGTGTTTCAAGAAGAAAGGAGTACTCGGCTGTTCCCAATGATGCGGAGAAGTCTAAGAATAACGGATCAATGGAGTTTACAACAAAGAGGCACTGGGAAGTCCCGATAAGAAATGTTTTTGATACAGTGGGGATGAAAGTTACCTGGAATAAGTTCAAGAAAAAATGGGAGTGAATAAATTGGGAAGACAGCAAATACGGTCCAACTCTTCAGAAGAATACTGTTACAGGAAGGGACAGAGAAACAAGTGGACATCCTAGAGAGTAATACGGATCAAGTCTGTTGTTTCAAGATGAAAGAAAGTACAGCAGTTTTTAACGCCAATATGGCAATGCATCAGTGAGAGAGTGAGGAGTGGATGATGCCCCTGACTAAACAGTCAGGTGTTGTATGTTTTAAAAATGCCTGCAGCGCACCGGTTGCACGGAGCTGTGCTGAAGGAATACCAGTGCCACCTGGGCATCAGTAGCACAGACCAAGCCCCCACATGCTTCCCCGGGGAAGCTGCCTGGGCCGTGCCAACCAATGCCCCACGCCACACACCGACCGCTGTGGGCACCTGTGGCGACGGTGCTCCGTTTTTTTAACATCCTGATTATGCGAACGTGCATTTTTTTCATGGTCATCAGCAGCATGAGCGCGGAGACTTGGTTTACAGGCTGCAAACCCGAGGGGGACCCAGACAAGTGCCCGGCGCGTACAAAGCATGTACCCACTCACACTATTAACACCACACGTGTGAGGTCTGATTTCGTCCTTTCATGTATGTTCTCACGAGTCCAAAAGGAAGCAGGCACTACTCATCGGATGATCACAATAAGGATCCAAAAAAAGGTGATGTCGCTTCCCGGGTCACACACCTCGTAAAAGGGGCATCAGCCAGGACGCCAAGCCTGACACTGTCGAAGAACACTGTCGAAGGCGAGCACTCCCAACCACTCCCTACCCCCGCGCCCTCGCCACTCCACTCTGATCACCGCGAGCGCCGACGCACAGTAGGGCCGATTCCGATCCCAGAATCGGAGCAGTCGCGGGGCAAGCGCAGAGGCCTCCAGTAGGCTGCAGACGCCTCGCCCCATCGCTACGAAGCGGAGCACGCGGAGCTGGGGGGGTTTGGGCGCTGGGGGAGCTGGGGGGAGCTGGGGGAGCTGGGGGAGCTGGGGGAGCTGGGGGGAGCTGGGGGGAGCTGGGGGAGCTGGGGGAGCTGGGGGAGCTGGGGGAGCTGCGGAGCGGGTGCATGAGTTGTCGTGCCCGCACGGGGCCTCCCCTCCCGGCCACTCCAGTGCCGGAGCCGAGCGCCAGGCCGGCGGAAAGCAAACCCGCCCGCGCGCCCCAGACGCGGACTCGGGGGGGCGCCGGAGAGGCCAGATGCGCGGCCTCGCCTCCTCGCAGCTCCGCGATACAGACGGACGGCCCCCGGGCGCCGGGCCGGGAGGAGCCCGGGGAGACCCAGGCGGGGATCGACGCACCTCGGAGGGAAGGCGGGGGAGGGGACTCGACCTCACCCTCGAACAGTCGCGACAGCTCTTCGGTGGCTCAGTGGCTGCAGGCTGCGAAGAAGTGCGAGCGGCGGATCTCCGGCGAGCAACCCTGCGAGGAAAAAGCTAAAAAGTAGCTCCCACCCCGGCAGCGTTGAGTGTGACCCCGCCCCTCGGCCCGCCCCTTCCGGCGGCCTCCCGAGCCACTTCCGGCGGCGGCTTCCTACCTTGCTCCGCAGCTCCCAGGTCGGTCCCAGCCCCTCGCCCCGTCGGCGCGCCGGGAGGCCTCCTTCCGGTCTGCAGGACCTGCCGAGGCCCGGGCGCCGGGCCCCCCCGTGTACCGCAGGGCTGCCTCCTCCGAGCGGTACAATGTGCTGCGAGAAGTGGAGCCACGTGGCCGAAATGTTTCTCTTTATTGAAGACCTGGAGGAGGATTATAAGATCCTTTGCCTCTGCTCCCGGGCATTTGTAGAGTAAGTACAAACTTCGCTCTCCCTTTGCACGATTATTGCCCAGAAATGGAGGTGATGCAGACCAGTTGCAATGGGTCCCTGGAACCACGGCCAGAGAGAGTATTGGACTCTTGGGCAAGCTGATGTTTTAGAAAAAGGGGAGCCCTGCCTGGTGTGCTCGGCGGTGGAACATGACCCATGAACCAGGTGGTCTCGGTTCCGTTCGGTCAGGTCACATGCCCCGGTTGTGGGCTCGATCGCCAGTAGCGGGCGTGCAGAAGGCAGCCCATCCATCATGATTCTCATCATTGATGTTTCTCTCTCTCTCCTTTCCTCTCTCTGAAGTCAATAAAAACATGAAAAAAAAAAGAAAAGGGGGGGAAAAATCCTCAGACTTTAGAGTGGTGGTCTCTGCCATTAAGTATATGAGTAAATCTGTGTGGGCTGTAATGAAAAAATGTGGTAGTTGATATATGTCATTTTATATTTATAAACTGAGGGGACATTTTAAAATTGGGGGAAAGTGAAATGTAAAATGAAATCCCGTTAGTGGATATGACATCACAAGGTAAAGGTTTAAAGATAAGTAACGCCGAACCGGTTTGGCTCAGTGGATAGAGCGTCGGCCTGCGGACTCAAGGGTCCCAGGTTCGATTCCGGTCAAGGGCATGTACCTTGGTTGCAGGCACATCCCCACTTGGGGGGTGTGCAGGAGGCAGCTGGTCGATCTCTCTCATCGATGTTTCTCTCTATTCCTCTCCCTTCTTCTCTGTAAAAAATCAATAAAATATATTTTTAAAAAAATAAAAAAATAATAATAATAAAGATAAGTAACTTATTTTGGATAACATCTTTTTTAAAACCTTAAGATTTATTAAAGCACCAATTCACATAAACATAAACTGTGATGTAAAAGGTTTAACTACAATTACATTCGTTTTTGAGCTGTCTTCTATTTTGGGAAAATATTTGTTTTGGGTAAAAACTGCTGTACCTGTAAGATAGCTAGTGGGGGGAGGGGGAAATGCCTAAAGAATTGGATTCTGGAGATGGTTTTCTTTATATTAGACTAGAGGCCGGGTGCACAAAATTCGTGCACCCAGGAGATCCCTCAGCTCGGCTTGTGCCCTCTCACATTCCCGGAGCCCTCAGGGGATGTCCAGCTGATGGTTTAGGCTCACCCTCCACAAGGAATGGGCCTAAGCCGTCAGTCGGACACCCTTAAACGCTGCGCAGAGGTGGGAGAGGCTCCCACCACTGCCGCTGTGCTCACCAGCCATGAGATGAGCCCAGCTTCTGGCTGAGCGTGTGAGTTCATATCTAAAACAGGTATATTTACCATAATCATCTCACAGGCTTACTGCTAGATTCAACTTGTGGAAGTGAATTTTATGTGAGAGACTTTTAATAGAGTTTAATGTAGTAGAGTTTTAGTTTGAAGTTATTCTTACTATTCATCATGTGTTTTTGTGAAGTAATCTGCAAATTCAAAAAGAAATGGAAAACTATGTTAAATTTAATGTGAAAAGTATTTCTGTTTTTGTAGTTATGTGTGCATATATTCATTCAATGAATGATTGTTGTGCTCCTTTGTATTAGGTACTAGTAGGCACTGGGGTACAAGACACAGCCCTTCCTTAACACATTTTGACTTTACTTACTGGCAAAGGAGATCAATATTAAGACAACTGTTACATAATCCTTTGGTTAGTTAAAGTTATAAGTGCTTTGAAGATCACCCTGGGTAATCAGCAGCACCTGGGGGATGGTTCAAAGGAGGGGAACCGCATAATCATTTTTCAGGCTACAAGTTCTGGGTGACTTGGATAAAGATTGGTGGCAGTGGAAATGGAGAGAAACTGTTGAGATTAAGCAGTTGGAATGGATGTGAGGGAATAAAGGAAAGAAATAGGATGAGAAAGAATAGGTCAAGGGTAACTCCCTTGCTGAAATGATGGCATGGTAGAAAGTTGCTTGTGCTATAAAAAAGCAGGCTTTGATTATTTATTCTTTAAGTGATGAATTTTGAAATAATTTTAAACTTACAAAAATAATTCAAAGAACTTCCATATTTCCACCACCCAGATTCACCAATTCTTCATAACACACACACACACCATCATTAGTGTTTTTCTGGACCATTTGAGAACATGCTGCAGATGTGACTATCACTACTAAATACTTCATTGTGTATTTCCCCAAAACAAGTATATCCTACACAACTACTGTAGTCATTGAGACTAAATTGTTTTATCTTGATTTATGTTTCAGTTTGCTAAAATATTTAAACAAGTACTTCATTTTATGTTAGTCTGCAAAACAACCTTTGCTCGGACCATGAATATCTTGTCTACTAGGCAATGAATATTTTGGCCTATTTGCAGATGGACTGTGGTTTGCATGTAGATTTTATATATGTGTCAGATAAATCTTTCCATATTTATGCTTCCCTTTTACAGCAAATTTAGAGAGCATTTCATTGTTTGTGCATCATAAGGAGGATTGGGTTCTTCCCCCAATATCCTGAATACCACTTATTTTAATAATTAGTTATGCCCTGGCCGGTGGGCTAAGTGGTTAGAGCATCGACCCACACTCCACAGGGCCTTGGATTTGATTCCCAGTCAAGGGCACATACCTGGGTTGCATGTTCGGTCCCTGGCCCTGCGGGAGGCAACTAATCAATGTGTCTCTCTCACCTGGTTATCTCTTTTTTTCTCATCCTCTTCTCACCCTCTCTCCCTCCCTTCCACTCTCTCTAAAAATCAATGGAAAAAATATCTTCAGGTGAGGATTAACAAAAATAGTAATTAGTAGTTATAAATGCTTGCCACAATACTAAATGTTTTACAGATACTGCCAATCCTTATAACAACCCCA